ACTGAGAGAGTCAATCTGCCCTTGGAAGCTTTAAAGCCAGGCACTAACTTCTCCTTTCTAAGGAAGTCCTAGGTTCATCTACGAGGAAAATCTGTGGTTTCGTGTAGTCATCTTCACCAATTATTTAGCTAGATCTCTGGATAACTTGCTGCAGCTTCTGTGTCAGCACTTGTGGTTTCACATTGCACTTTTATGCTATAGAGATGGTGTCTTTCCTTAAACCTCACACACCAACCTTTCCTAGCTTCCAACTGTTCTTCTGCAGCTTCCTCACCTCTCTCACCCTTCACAGAATTGGGAGAATTAAGGCCTTGCTCTGGATTAGGCTTTGGCTTAAGGGAATGTTGCAGCTGGTTTGATCTCCTATCAAGACCACTCGAACTTTTTCCATATCAGTAATGAGTCTGTTTTGCTTGTTTATCATCAAATACAAGGGATCCCTAATAAGATTATCGAAGACTTCTCATCAGAAACACTGAAGGCCAGAAGGCGACTGGTTGATACATTCAAAGTGCTGAAGGAAAAAAAGTAAAGCAAGAATCCAGCAAAACTATCTTTCAAAAATGAGGGAGGTATTAAGACAGTCCTAGGTAAACAGAAACTGAGGGAGTTCATTAGCACTGGACCTGTCATACAAGAAAAGCTATAGTGAGTCCCTTCAGGTTTAAATATAAACCTGTGACTTTAGACAGTCACTTAAAGCCAGATGAAGAATTAAAGATCTGGTAAAGCTAAATACATAAAAATTATAAAAGCTAGTATTACTGTAAGTTTGGGTTGTAATACCACTTTTTGATTTCTACATGATTAAAGAGACTCACGCATTAAAAAATTAGTTGTCTCGTTTTTGGACACACAATGCATAAAGATGCAATTTAAAGACACCACCAATTGAAAGGAGTGAGTACAGAATTTTAAAGAAGTAGAGTTTTTGAGGGTTAGTAAAGTTCAGGTGGTATAAATTCAAATTAGAGTACTATAACTTCCACCAATTGAAAGGAGTGAGTACAGAATTGTAAAGAAGTAGAGTTTTTGAGGGTTAGTAAAGTTCAGGTGGTATAAATACAAATTAGAGTACTGTAACTTCAGGATATTAAATATAATCTATACAAAGAAAATAGCTATAGAATATACACAACAGGAAATGAGAAGAGAATTAAAATGTTTCACTCAAAAATCAATTAAACACAAAAGAAGGCATTTATGTAGAATCAATTAAACACAAAAGAAGGACAAAAAGCAATGAGGCTATAGAAAATAAATAGCAAAAAGACAGAAGTAAGTCCTTATCAGGACTCACTTTAAATGTAAATGGATTAAACTCTCCAATCAAAAGAAAGAGACTGGGAAAGTCGATTAAACAAACAAACAAAAAGCATGATCCAACTCCATGCTGTCTCCAAAAGCCACAAACAGGGTAAAAGTGAAAGAGAAAAAAACAAATTTTCCATGAAAATATAGCAGTTCCCCTTATCAGTGGAGGATATGTTTCAAGATCCCAGTAGATGCCTAAAACCATGGATAGTACCAAATTCTATAAAGTCATTCCTTGATATCCATGGGAGATTGGTTTCAAAATCCCCCTGCAGATAATAAAATCCACAGAAGCTCAAGTCCCTAATATCAAATAGCATAGTATTTGCATATAATCTATGCACATCTTCCCATATTATTTTTGAGTATTTTAAATCCACATTGGTTGAATCCATGGATGTAGAATACGGAGCGCCAACTGCATATACCATGTTTTTTTCCTATACATACTACGTATGATAAAGTTTAATTTGTAAATTAGGCACATCCTTTATAAATGGATATTAAAGTAGATTAACAGCTACTATCAAAAGTAAATTAACAACAAAATAAAACAGAAAAATGATAACAATATATTGTGATAAAAGTTCTTGTGATGTATGTGGTCTCTCTCTCAAAATATCTTATTTTACTATACTCATCTATATTTAGGCTGTGGTTGATTCAGGATAACTTAAACTATGAAAAGCAAAACTGCAGCTAAAGGGGGTACTACCATAGTAACCAAAAGAGAAAACGGGTAGATATATTAATATCAGACAAAACAGACTTTAAATGAAAAGGCCAGAAAAGACCAAAAAATATTATTAATAAAAGAGTTAATAGAGCAAGATATAACAATTATAAACACTTACATACCTAATAACAAGACCATCAAAATATATGAGGCAAAAACTGAAAGAACTGTAGAAAGCAATGACCATTTTACATTAATAGTTGGAGATTTCAACACCCTACACTCTCAATAATGAATACAACAACCAGGCAGAAATAAGTAAAGCAATAGAAGACTTCAACAACTCAATGAAGCAATTAAATCTAAGAGATATACACAAAATGCTCTATTAAAGATACACAAAATACTCTACCTAACAACAGACTCTACAGTATTTTCAAGTGCACAGGGGACATTCTCCAGGATAGACCATATGTTGGATTACAAATTAAGTCTCAACAAACTTTAAAAGACAAATACAAAGTATCTTCTCCAACTACAACATGAAGTTAGAATAATATAAAGAAAACAAGAAAATTCCCAAATTTGTAGAAATTAAACAACAGACACAATCAATGACAAAGGAAATTAGAAATACTTTGAGACGAATGAAAACACAAACATGACAGACTAAAATTTATAGGATGCCGCAAAAGCAGTGCTAAGTGAGAAATTTAAAGCCATAAATGCTTAAACTAAATAAGAGAGATCACAAATCAACAATCTAACTTTATAACTTAAGGAACTAGGAAAAAAATAAACTAAACCCAAAGCAAGCAGAAGGAAAAATAAATAAATAAAGATTAAAGCAAAGACAGATAAAATAGAGAAAAATCAACAAAGTCAAAAGTTGGTTCTTTGAAAAGATTAACGAAACTGATAAACCTTTAGCTTAATTGACTAAGAATGTATAAGGAATGAAGAAAATAGAAAATCACCATTAGAACACAACAGTAATAAATTATTATGGGCAAAATCCACTGATATGGATGTTAAAATTAGTACATAAAAGTTTAAGAAAAAATACGTTATTTATATAGTCTCAGAGTATTTCCTCTAAGATACTACTTAGTTTTCAATGGAAAAATAGCAACTTTAAAGTGAACAAACACAGTAGACACCACTGTAGTCAAGCAATCAAAGTTAACATCACCAGTAAAAAGGTATCAACATCATTTCTTCCCTGATATGTTGCTCTGAGAAGGGCAGGCACATCAGGAACCAAATCCCAGGTCTTGTCACACCCCACATCTTCATAGTGTTAATCATTTTGCTATAAATGAGCATATTTTCTTTCAAGAAATGATAAACAGATTTGTTGGGAGAAAGCAGCAGGGTACTACATCAATCAGAATAGTCTATCATTTGTGAAATATACCCAATTCTGTAGGGTTACTCAGAAAAGTTAAGTAGTGAGATAAGACAGTGTCTAATAGGATATTCCCCAGTCTGATGAATAGAAATTAAATAGTGGGATACAAGTGTGGCTAGCATATAAAAGAAAAAAACAGAATGGAACAGATATTTACTGATGCTTGATACACAGTAGGTAGTAATAATACACAGTAGATACTAAATAATTATAAAAAATTTATAACAATAGCATATTTTAATTTCATTTGATTTGTAATTTAATTTGTTAAGTTTATTTAATAGTGATGGCATGTACTATTACATTTATCTATTCATTTAACCCTGAAAATAACCATATGAGGCAGGTACTACTATTAGCCCCACTCTATAGATAAGAAAATAAAGGCATGAAAAGTTGGATCACTTACTAAGCGGCAAAACCTACCCGACATTATACTACCTCCCAGAAAATATCACTTAATTAATAATAAGTGCCAGCTAGGATGCTAAATACCTTACGTATCCTAATCCTCAAAATATTCCTGTCCAGAGGTTTTATTATATCAATTTAAATGAAAAAAACTAAGGCTCTGATTGGCTGCCCAACACACTGCAAGGTATTTAGCACATTTGGCTTCTACCTGGTAACTGTCAGAAGTATCCCTCCTCCTCAGTTACTGTGACAAGTAAATACGTGCCCCCCGTGAACATTTCCAAATGCCCCTAAGACAGCAGTACTTCCCCAAAGTACTGCTTTAAAAAGTACTGGTTGTTAAAGACTATTAGGTGAGATGTGAACCTAGGTGTGTATGACTCCAAAGTCAATGTTCTTTCCAACAGGGCTACTGACTTGTAAAGGAGTTGACATCAAAACAAATGTACAAAGATGGGGAAACAAAGTTTCACAAAGTGTATGGGGCAATACACTCCAGATGGGGAAGCTACAGTTGCAAATAACTGGAAGTTAAAGTAGTCCATAAAGTATAACAGTAATTTATGTCATTTGTTGAATTAAGTAAGACATAAAGCAATTTGTAAAGTATATCTCCTGAGGGAATTGGGATTTTGTTCAGAACTCTGAGTGAGAACTGACATCATTAACATGCTATTTATTTAAAAACGTCTAAGCTGAATAAAGGTATGGGGGTGGGAAGTAAGTCTTCCTAAAATAATTTAATTTCACCATTCTAGTATTTTCAAATCTATTTAGTATGTTTTTCCATTCGGTGTTATATAAGCTTTAGAATTTATTAGTAAAAATCATCTACACTACTCTAGTCAATCTTAATAAGAAATTCAGGACAATAGGGGAAAACATTAAAAAGCAACCCTAGTATAATTATGATATAGACCACAAAACATGCTCCCAAACACGCAAACATAAACATTTCTATTTCCTTAAGAGAATAGCTTTAGTATGTAATACACAGATATTATAAATGTCTGAAAACTTGTAAAATTACAAATATGAATACACAAAAATTACTGTAGCAGTAGTCTACAACCATATTTTGGTTGTTTAATGGAACTTGCATACATTAGCATGTAAATTCATGAGCCCACAAACACATGTACACTGCAAACAAAAATTTAGTGATCAACTTTAATAATCAGTTACCTTTGCAATAATGACTTCTTTCTTCAGAATCTTCATAGCATAATATTTTCCACTTGCCTTCTCTCGAACCAAAATAACTTTCCCAAAAGTGCCTTTACCTAGTAGTTTCAAATAGTCAAAATCATTCATTGTCTGAAAAATACAAATTTAAAAAATATAATATGAAGTATTTGATGCCATTTATTTGTTAGCATATAAGTATGTGTTTGCAATATCCACTCAAAAACAAATTTTACCAATTTATAAGTACATTTAAATGAAAAGGAATCAGACTGTCATTGGCTGTCTCATTAGCAACCATGGATGCTGAAAATAATTTAAGCAGTTCTCAGATGTTGGAGAAAATGATTTTGAAACTAGAATTCCTCAGCCAAATTATCAGTTATGTAAAAGGGCAAAGGAGGAAAAAAATTATTTTCACTCATTTTTAAGGACTCAAGTTTTCAAGGATTTAGTAGTGCTGCTACCCCCAGAAAATGTGATAATCAAAAATGTTCCACACAAACATTTCCAAATATGCCTAAAAAAGCAATGCTTTGGAAGGAGCTATCTGAGAGTTTACTCTAGCAAAATAAAGATAAAATCCAAGACAGAGAGAAATATAGGATATATTTATAAGAAATGTTGAGAACTTCGTATACTTCAGTTAAAATAAATCAAAGAAAGCAGTTGTTATTCCTGAGAGAGTACTTGATGCAATTCAGAACAGCAAGGCAGGGAGCTCTAAGAAGAATATCTTTAATTAATCTGCCTGTTTTCAGTTTCACTTCTCCTTCTTAAGTCAGGTAATTCTGAGGATTTTGCCAATCACATGTGCACTTGTTCTCTACAGTCTCCTCTGTGTACTCTTTTCCTGCTCTGCTCTATCAACATTCTTCCAGAAACTTACAAACTTTTCAAAGCACTGGTGCCCTAAAGCCCCTCCCCAACCCAGCTTTTCATTTTTGTGGACTTGCCTCCTTTTGAAATTCTTTTACTTTCATATTAATAGGTTTTTGAACAGAAGAAAAGGTGATTGTATACGATCAGTTTACTTAAATTTAAATTCAGTTTAGAGGTTTATAAATATAAAAACAAGTATTTGGGTTTTATCTTGAAATTACAAGTCATTGAAAATTTTAGTGCCTTTTATAACTTTTTTTTTCTGCTTATCATTTATCTAAAGTAAACGTGAGAAATTTTCCAAATCAATGGCTTCAGCTTCTACCTTAACTTAAAAAAAGCAAGTTAACCCAAAAGAATTAGAAGAAAATGATAAAAATCAGAGCAGAAATCCATTAAATTTTTAAAAGAAAAACAGTAGAGAAAAAAATCAGTGAAACCAAAAGCTACTTCTAAAACATCAGTAAGAATTGATAGGCCTCTGGCCAGGTTGGTCAGAAAAATAAAGAGAGAAGACACAAATTACCAGTATCAGGAATGACAGAGGTAGCATCACTACAGATTTTACAGATATTAAAAGAAACTAAGAGAATATAAATGGCATTTTGACAATAAAATTGACACCTTTGATGAAATGAACAAATTGCTAGAAAGTCTCAAGCTATGAAAGCTCACCTAAGAAGAAACAGATAATTTGATAACCCCATATTTATTAAGAAAAACTGCGTTTGTGGTTAAACACCTTTCATCAAAGAAAACTCCAGGCCCAGATGGTCTCACTGGTGAATTCTACAGACATTTAAAGAATAAATAACACCAATTTTATACAAACTCTTCCTGAAAATTAAAATGAGAAATATTTCTCATTCATTCTGAGACAAGCATCATCCTGATACTGAGATAGGAGTGTGGCAGGTCTGGTTTCATAAGATGCAGGACACAAAGACCCTGCTGGAAAAACAGGATATGGTAAAGAAGCCAGTCGAAACCCACCAAAACCAAGATGGCTATATGAAAGCGCCTTCTGGTTGTCCCCAGTGCTCATTATACATTAATTATAATATATTATCTTGCCAAAGGAACCTCCCATCAGTGCCATGACAGTTTACAAATGCCATGGCATCTCGGGAAGTTACCCTGTATGGTCTGAAAAGGGGGGAAACTGTCAGTTCTGGGAATTCCCTGCCCCTTCACCAGAAAATCTACCCCTTGTTTAGCACATAATTAAAAAATAACCACAAAAATAGCCAACCAGTCAACCAGTAGCCTTCAGGGTTGCTCTGCCTATGGAGTAGTCACCTTTTATTCTTTTACTTTCTTAATAAACTTGCTTTCACTTTATTCTGTTGCTTGCTCTTGAATTCCTTCTTGTGTGAAGCCAAGAACCCATGTGGTCTCCCAGGCTGAAAGCCAATTTTTTAACAATACCAAAATTAGAGGAAAATAATGCAAGAAAACCACATCCCAGTATCTCTCATGTATCATATATACAAATTCTTAAAATTTTAGAAATTAATGCCTACATTTACTTTCAACATATTTTGGTGTTCATAATTTTGATAATTTTCCCCAAATGTCAAATTACAGTGTCTTACATTCAATAATATCTCTAGTTCAAAGGAAAACATAAAGTAGCAAAGAGACAGCAGGGAAAATAACAAGATATATTAATTCAACTAAAAATCAAACATGTAGCTCTAAATATCAAATATAGTAAATCAGCTAGTGTCATTTGAACAAATAATAGGTAATATTAGATAGATTTAATTGCATTAATAGAATGGAAAAAATCAAGGAATACTACATAACAAGCTATTTATGCTAGGTAGTCTGCAAAGATGGCTGCCACAAATTCCAATTTCTCCCTGTATGCACATTCTATTCTTCCATAAAGGGGTGGAGTCAACTTTCTCTCTCCCTGGGCTATCTCTGTATCTTGCTTTGAACACATAATATGATCAAACTGATACTATGCCAGTAACAGACAATGCCGTTAAGCCTGGCAGTTTATGCATTCTCTCTCGGAAAGCTCTAGGAAGTCAGCTCTAATGCTGTTAGTTAGTCCACGTTATCCTGGAGAGAGAGGCCATATGGAGAGACCTTGGAAGAAAAATTACCACTGCAAGAGAGAGGCCAAGTGGAGAAGAACCAACACACCACAACCAACAGTCAGCACCAAGGCCCCAGACACGTAAGGAAAGTATTGTTGGATTTTCCAGCCCACCCATGTATCAGCTGTAGGCAGCTGCCTGAGAGCCATGCATGCAAGAACAACAGAATGGCCCAAACTACAAAATCATGAGATATTTACATGGCTATTGTTTTAAGACATTAAATTTTGAGGTAGTTTGTTCCACAGTGTGAGGGTTAATACCGAGTGTCAATTTGATTGTATTGAAAGATGCAAAATAGTGATCCTGGGTGTATCTGTGAGGGTGCTGCCAAAGGAGATTAACATTTCAGTCAGTGGGCTGGGAAAGGCAGACCCACCTTAACCCGGGTGGGCACCATCTAATCAGCTGCCAGTGTGGCTAGAATATAAAACAGGCATAAAAATGTGAAAACGCTAGACTGGCTTAGCCTCCCAGCCTACATCTTTCTGCCGTGCTGGATGCTTCCTGCTCTCGACTCCAAGTTCTTCAGCACTGGGACTCAAACTGGCTTCCTTGCTCCTCAGCTTGCAGATGGCCTACTGTGGGACCTTGTGACTGTGTGAGTTTAATACTCCTTAATAAACTCCACATATATATACACACACACACACACACACACACACACACACACACACACACACATATATATATATACTATTAGTTCTGTCCCTCTAGAGAACCCTGACTAATACATATGGCAAGTAACTCAGAAACATTATCTTCATAACCAGGCCAGAGTGTCAATTTATTGCTCAAAGTTTCACTTGGACAGTATGTTCCTCATTTTTTACTTAAAAGCACTAGAAAATAATACTTGCTGTGCCCTATTACTAAATAGCATAGAAAATGAAACTGAATTATTGGGGGGGTAAAAATTAGAAAACAATTTGTAAAATCCTTTATGACATTTTCAGATGAAAGGCAATATTTAATTATAAAATTTTACTATATTTTGTAAGAATTGCAATTCTTGACTGGGTGTGGTGGCTCAATTTGAAAGGCCAAGGCAGGGGAATCACTTGAGGGCATGAGTTTGAGACCAGCCTGGGCAACATGGCAAAACCCTGTCTCTACAAAAAAATACAAAAATTAGCCAAGTGCGGTGTCAGGTGCCTGTAGTTCCAGCTGCTTGGGAGGCTGAGTTGGGAGGATCACCTGAGCCTGTGAGGTCAAGGCTGCAGTAAGTCATGATTGTGCTTCTGCACTCCAGCCTACGTGATGGGAGTGAGACCTTGTCTCAAATAAATAAATAGTAGTAAAATTGCAATTCTTAGGGCAATGAGGTTAAAAAAGAAAAAAGTATGACAGCCTTCACTCTGAACTTCACAGCTTGTCAGTTTGACTCTCAATCTTTTTTTAGAAAAAGGGAATTAAGGGAACTTACATAGAAATTATTATTAGTTAAAAAGCACTGTATGTGATAAAATCAGAAACAGATTTCACATCTATTTTGACAAAACTTGAGGAAATTAAAAAGGTAAGGTATCTTTGCTATCAAATGCTCATGTTCAGAATGGTACACACAATAATTGTGTAGTCTTTACAAATGAAATGTAAGCTATTACAAAATGTTTTGTTCTTCTGAATGCTATGGAAAAAGATACAGTAAGTCTTTAATGAAAAAAACAGGAGTATGAATACTCTCCAGAAAAAAAAATCCTCCTCCAAAGCCTGATCTTAAGAATTTATTGGGGAAATATTTTACAGTTATACTCTTCCCTTTACATGTTTATATGGCTGTTTTAGGTTAAGAGATATAGGGGTATACATAACAAGTGCTTAATAAATGTGTTCAAATCAGGCACGCCAGAATATAAGACATTGTCTAGACCACAGATTAGATTAAAAATAAACATATAATCAATGAGGAACATAAAGAACTTTTAAGAATACCACAGTATTAGCATATTTGGTCAAAAAAGATAAATTCCAGATACATTTACAATGTAACAGCAAAACCAAGTAGGTAAAAAGAGAACAGCTCTGATGAAGTTCACTCCTCTGCCTCCATCTCTGCCCACTTCTTCTGGTGCTCTTTCTCATGAGAAGAGGTGGAGCTAATGTTATTAGTCAACTTCTACATTGGTTATATCACTTCTCTCTTTTAAATAAGCAGATTCATGCAGTGTGAAATCATGAGATTTCAGCAGGTCTGGCCATTGTCTTTTTTTCCTTCTCTTTTTCTCTGGATACTAGCCACTGGTATGAGTTACTGCAGCCAGGAATTAGGTGATACAATCCCAGGAACTAGAGTCAAACTTAATGGGAAAGCAGAAGGCACTGCTTATACTTTAAATGTAAATCATGGGATTCCAGCCAGTTGATCCCAGAGAGGCCTATGCTAGTCGGTTAAAAATTAAGCAGAACTTTGACTCTCACTTGGCTTTTTATCCTTTGATGCTATGCCCCTTCACGTACTTGACAAGGCATACGAGAATGGTAGCTTGGCTGACCAAGATTAGGTACTTCTGGGTTCTCTAATCAAATTCCTTTGAAACACTATCTTTTAATTAAAACATAGAACCACACTTTCTTTTAATTCAAACACAGAAGAGCACTTAAATCTGTCTGTGAGGCCCTTGCCTCTCTATCTACTACCCAACATCCTTCCTTTCCAAGTGAGTTTTTAACTGGCAGAGCAGACACTGCGGCAACAAACTACCACTAAGGGAGGTAATGAACCCTATTTCATGCAAGAAATAGCAGTCTGACGACTCTCACCATAGTCACCATAATCAGTACCTATTTTTTAAATCCTATGCCATTTGACAAAAATTAAAGAAGGAAATATATCCTATAAATTATTAGAACAATATTCTTATTTCAGAATGTGTGGTTAAAGTATTAAAAATAATCCAAACTTCTGCAATTCTCTGCATGATAATTGATATACATAAGGGTATCGTTCTAGAATCATTTATGTTATGAAAATGACAGTAATATTTAACCACTTGAGGCTAAGTCATTAGGACCGTTATGGAGTTAGTAGTGGTACAAATGTTCTATTTCTGCACTAACTTCTGCAGTAGTTTAGAACTATTTTAAATTATTTCAAAAAAGATAACAGAACCTCAAACATTTAAGATCTTTTAATTGTATACTGTAACACATCAACATACAGCTTCTTTCTTTTTCTTGGTTCATGTATCTTGAGCCTCTCTAATCTCTATAATTGTTATGCTTATAATGAAGTTATATTAGAAACAAAATTATGCAGATATTCTCTTATGATTATACTGTTTCTCAAAATATTATGAAAAACTGTCCTTATATGACATTTGGATATTAATTTCAATTTATAATAAAGCTTGTAAACTCTTGGAAAAATCAGTAGAACTTTAGTATTACAACATAGTGCTAGAAACTGAGGACTTTAGATCTTACTGCCTGGGTTTAAGTACTGGTTCCCACCCTGTGTGTAATTATGGGGAAAATTTCCTAATCCTTCCATCCTTTATTTCCCTTAACTATAAAATGGGAAGAATCATAATGGTACTCAACTTATAGTTGAAGTTCAAAATGAAAAAAAATGTTTAAAGTATTTATGTAATATGTGCTCAATAAATATTAGCTATTAAAGTTAGCTACTATTCCTTGTCCACATAAAGATTAACCATAAAAATCACTCTAAAACAGATTCTCTTAGAATTTTTTACTCCAACTGAGTCTCCAAAAATAAAAACTCGTAGAAGTATTTTGAATTTGAGGTTCAATTACTTAACCATATCTGATTTATACTATTCTTGATTTCATTTCATTTTAAATGAAATAATTTACATATGTACAAAAGAAGCTTTCTTAACTCTGAGTAGGTAGGTGAGTGTAGCTAGACTTTGTTTTTCTTTTTGCAATGACAGAGGAACAAGGCAGGTTAAACTGACATAAAAGAAAAGAGTGAAAATTCAGTTCAACAAACAAATAGAGAAGAAATCTGCAATGAAGACAGAAAGGGATCTCAGACATTTGGCCCAGATGAAGTATAGAATGTTATTCTTATTCACATAAGGAAAGGATAATTAACTTTATGTTGTGACTGTATAACTTCACCAAGTCCACAAGTTTAACGTGGAAAAGGGAGGATATGAACTCAGGCAGTCTATCTCCAAAGAGTTCTTAATCACTGTGCTAATACCAAATTTCATGGATAATACCTTGAAAATTTGTATTTTCTTACCTGAAGATTAATTAACAATCTATTAAACCAAATATATTCTAAAGTTATAAACGGCAAGCTTATCTCAACACCTCTATCTTTAGATTAATCATGAAAATATCATTTTTATAATAAGGAAATTGCTTTTCAATTTTCTATAGCAATGATTTATATTTATATTTCTCATAAAATTTATATTTCTCATAAATTTATATTTCTCATAAAAATATAAATTGGTACTTATTATGCTGGAGCACTGACAGAAGGAAAAGTCTATTTCCCTACTGGCTCAGAAGCAGCCATTAAATAAGAGTTATTATTTCCAAGACTGTTCACTTTCCTGCTGACTTTACTATGACTGAGGGCACCAATCAGGAAGTACACCTGAGCCATTATTGCTCATGCTTTTCAGGCGAATATGAAATGCAAAGTGGAAAGGAACAAATCAGGGAAAACATTTTATTACAAAGTTTCTAAAACTGTATTAAAAATAATAAGGAACAATGCAAATTATAAAGCAGTATGATGGCACATCAGTCACACATGTGCCCTATCAGCATTCAGCGCTAAAGTGCTGAATCACTGAAACGATGTTCTCACTGAAACGATGTTCACCTACTTGGTTTTAAACAACAAGTATTTCAGATTCGTGTGAATGAAACCCACCAATACATTTACGTATCATAAGAAAATTGGCTGACATCTTTCTGCAAATGGTAGTTTTTAGTATGTTTCTTCCAGACAAATGAATGCTGAGCTGGGAATAAGTTATTATTTTCTACCTTTCTTTTATGATGGGTTGTAGAAGCATCCATCTCTTCCTCTCCTATATTATCAATTTGTGAAGTTGGACTACAATTCATTCTCTCCTCTTCTTGCCTCTGCAGTCTGTCCGCTACAGCCTGGATAGCTTCTGTCCATTCTTCCCTACAAAAATGAGTAAAATGTCCCATTAATAGATGATGGCAAATGATTTAAATATTTTCCTTTTATAAAATATGAAATAAATACAAATGAAATCTATTTGGAGATCAAACACACACAACACACATAAGCACACACTCCCGCCATCACCCCAAAATGAAAATGGTCCTAAGAGCGTTTCACTACAGGCCTACAGTCTGTAGTAGCATTTTGTGGAAGTATGTTAAAGAAAAAAAGAGAAGAAAAAAACTGTTGAAAACTCGAGTTAAAATCATTTACATGAACAGTTACATTTTATTTGTCTGTTTATATCTATCCTACTTTTTTTTTTGGAAACAGTCTCACTCCGCTGCCCAGGCTGGAGTTCAATGGCATGATCTCAGCTCACTGCAACCTCCACCTCCTGGGTCTAAGCAATTCTCCTGTCTCAGCCTTCTGAGTAGCCAGGATTACAGGTGTGTGCCACAGCGCCCGGCTAATTTTTGTATTTTTAGTAGAGACGGGGTTTCACCACGTTGGCCAGGCTGGTCTCGAACTCCTGACCTCAAGTGATCCTTCCACCTCGGCCTTCCAAAGTGCTGGGATTACAGGCGTGAGCCACCGCAACTGGCCAATCCTAACTATTGAGTTGACCCCCTAAAAGTTTGCTGCAGTTTTTTGCTTAGCTATTTTAAGTCCATCATTGACATCCTCAAGATTTTTATCAGGTCCAACAGACATTCCAAGGAAAGGTTTCAAAGCCAAAACCTTTAATTGTTTCCAGATTATAGTAAATTTCTAAGAAAAAAAAAAAGGATTCAGCTTGTAGTTTGAACAATCAGTCTCAGGAGCACTTATGTCAAGCTTTTATTTTTAGACATTTGGCTATCAGACCAAGGATCATTATTTTTCCAAATAAATTTTAAAATCAGCTTGTCTACTTCTTAAAGTCTATTTGGATTTTGACTAGAATTACATTAAATCTATAGATAAATTTTGGGAAAACTAATATCTTAATCATTTAAATCTTCTAATCCATGAACATGGTATAGCTCTACATTTATATAGGTCTTTAATTTCCCAATGCAATGTTTGTAATTTTCTGTGTAAAGATCTTTCACATCTTTAACTGAATTTATTCCTACATACAATCATGTACCACATAACAATGTTTCAGTCAATGATGGACTGCATACACAATGGTGGTCCCCTAAGATTATTACACTGTATTTTACTGTACCTTTCCTATGCTTGTATGTTTAGATACATCAATACTTACAATTGCATTACAATTGCCTATAGTATTCAGTACAGTAATGTGTAACAGGCCACACCACATAGCCTAGGTATGGGGTGGGCTACACCATCTAGGTTTGTCCAAGTAATATGTTTACATAATGTGGCCTAATGACATGTTTCTCAAAACATATCACTGTCATTGACACAAGACTGTTCTTTTATGCTATTGTTGAGGGTTTTATTTCACTTTCTAATTGTTCTTGTTAGTATTTAAAAATACAATTGATTTTTGTATACTGACTTTGTATACAGCAACTTTACTAAATTCATTTATTAGTTCTAGTAGCTCTTATTTTTCTGCATTTTCTACACATGCAATCATGTGGTATGCAAACAAGAGCAGCTCACTTGTTTCCAATCCGTACGCTTTTTACATCTTTTTCTTGCTTTATTGCCCTAGATCAGACCTGCAGTACAAAGTTAAATTAAGGTAAAGAGAGCAGCATACATGCTTTGTTTCACAAGTTAGTATTTAACATTGAGTTTTCACCCCCCTTGAATATGATGTAAGTTGTAGTTCTTTTATACATACATTTACTTAATCAACTAAGTTCTGTTCTATTTCTAGCCATCTGCATACTCTTAATGAAAGTTTGTTGAATTTTTGTCAAAAGCAGGTCAAGTGTGGTGGCTCATGCCTGTGATCCCAGCACTTTGGGAGACTGAGGTGGGCGGATTACCTGAGGTCAGGAGTTCAAGACCAGCCTGGCCCACATGGAGAAACCCAGTCTCTACCAAAAATACAAAAATTAGCTGGGCGTGCTGGCAGGAGCCTGTAATTCCAACTACTCGGGAGCCCGAGACATGAGAATCACTTGAACCTGGGAAATGGAGGTTGCAGTGAGCTGAAATCACACCATGGCACTCCAGCGAGGGTGACAGAGCAAGACTCTGTCTCAAAAAAAAAAGAAAAAGAAAAAGAAAAGAAAACTCTCAAATGCAATATCTCTATAAAATGATCACGCAGATTTTTACCTTTTTCATATTAATACGGTGAAATTAGCTTAATAGTTTCCAGATGTTAACACAATTTTGAATTCTTGGGATAAGCTCCATTTGATCACATAACTTAAGCTTCTACCCTTTTTACCTATTGTTTAATTTGTTGATACTTTGTTAAGAAATTTTGCATATGTTCACAAGTGTATTGGGCTATAGTTGTCTTTTCTTAAAATAGTTCTGCTGATTTCTGAAATGAGGGTGACAGTGGCCTTATAAAATAAGTTGAGAAGTATTCCCTTCTCATTATTTTCTGAAACAGCTTGTAGAGGATTGGTCAAATTACTTCCTTAAATGTTTGACAGAACTCACCGACAAGGCTGTCTGGGTTTGAACCTTTGAGGAAAGGTTCTTAACTACTAATTCACTTCCATTCATTGATACTGGGTTTTCTAATGTTTTCTTGGGTCAGTGTCAGTAATTTGTGTCTTCCTTCTTTTTCTTTTTCCTTTAACAATACCCCAAAACGTTTTTCAATTCTATTATTTTCAAAGAAGTAGTTTTGGTTTTATTAATTATTCTCTACTATTTTTCTGTTTCCTATTTCACTAATTTCTGAATGCTATTGTTTCCGTTTTCTTTGGGTTTATTTTTCTGGTTTCTTAAGACTGAAGCTTAAGTTAACAATGTAAGAACTTTCTTCTTTTCAAATACAGGTATTTAAGGCTATAAATTTCCTTCTAAGCACTCATTTAGCTACACCCCACAAATTTTGATACGTATTATTTTCATTACTGTCCTTGAAAATTACTTTCTAATGGCTCTTGTGAGGTTTTTGACCCAATGATTATAAAAATTATGTTAATTTCCAGTAACTGGCATCTATTGTCTTAATGCTGATTTCTAATTAATTCTACTGTGATTATAGAACATACACTGTATAACTTTCATCTTCCAAAACGTACTCAGAATCATTTATGACCAAGAATATGTTTATACACACACACACACACACACACACACACACACACACACTTTAAGTTCTGGGGTACACGTGCAGAACGTGCAGTTTTCTTACATAGGTATACACGTGCCATGGTGGTTTGCTGAACCCATCAAACTATCACCTATATTAGGTATTTCTGCTACTGCTATCCCTCCCCTAGCCCCCCATATCCCGACAGGCCCCAGTGTGTGATGTTCCCCTCCCTATGTCCATGTGTTCATTGTTCAACTCCCGCTTATGAGTGAGAACATGTGATGTTTAGTTTTCTGTTCTTGTGATAGTGTGCTGAGAATGATGGTTTCCAGCTTCATCCATGTCCCTGCAAAGAACATGAACTCATCCTTCTTATGGCTGCATAGTATTTCATGGTGTTTATGTGCCACACTTTCTTTATCCAGTCTATCACTGATGGACATTTGGTTTGGCTCCAAATCTTTGCTACTGTGAATAGTGCCACAATAAACATACTTGTGCATGTGTCTTTATAGTAGAATGATTTCTAATCCTTTGGGTATACACCCAGTAATGGGACTGCTGGGACAAATGGTATTTCCAGTTCTAGATCCTTGAGGAATTGCCACACTGTCTTCCACAATGGTTGAACTAATTTACACTTCCACCAACAGTGTAAAAGCTTTCCTATTTCTCCACATCCTCTCCAGTATCTGTTGTTTCCTGACTTTTTAATGATTGCCATTTCTAACTGGTGTGAGATGGCATCTGATTGTGTTTTGATTTGCATTTCTCTAATGACCAGTGATGATGAGCATTTTTTCATGTTTGTTGGCTGCATAAACGTCTTTTGAGAAGTGTCTGTTCATATCCTTTGCCCACTTTGTGATGGGTTTTTTTTCTTATAAATTTAAGTTCTTTGTAGGTGGTGGATATTAGCCCTTTGTCAGATAGAAAGATGGCAAAATTTTCTCCCATTCTGTAGGTTGCCTGTTCACTCTGATCACAGTTTATTTCGCTGTGCAGCAGCTCTTTAGTTTAATTAGATCCCATTTGTCAATTTTGGCTTTTGTTGCCATCGCTTTTGGTGTTTTAGACATGAAGTCTTTGCCCATGCCTATGTCCTGAATGGTATTCCCTGGGTTTTTTCATACTATTTTTATGGTTTTAGGTCTTACGTTTAAGTCTTTAATCCATCTTGGGTTGACTTTTGTATAAGGTGTCAGTAAGGGGTCCAGTTTCAGTTTTCTGCATATGCCTAGCCAGTTTTTCCAATACCAATTATTAAATAGGGAATCCTTTCCCCATTGCTTTTTGTCAGGTTTGTCAAAGATCAGATGGCTGTAGATGTATGGTGTTATTTCTGAGGACTCTGTTCTGTTCCATTGGTCTATATCTCTGTTTTGGTACCAGTAGCATGCTGTTTTTGTTACTGTAGCCTTGTAGTATAGTTAGAAGTGAGGTAGCGTGATGCCTCCAGCTTTGTTCTTTTTGCTTAGGATTGTCTTGGCTATGCGGATTTTTTGGTTCCATATGAAGTTTAAAGTATTTTTTTCCAATTCTGTGAAAAAAGCCAATATTAGCTTGATGTTGATAGCACTGAATCTGTAAATTAATTTGGGCAGTATGACCATTTTCATGATATTGATTCTTCTTATCTATGACCATGAAATGTTTTTCCATTTGTTTGTGTCCTCTCTTATTTCCTTGAGCAGTGGTTTGTAGTTCTCCTTGAAGAGGTCCTTCACATACCTTGTAATTTGGATTCCTAGGTATTTTATTCTCTTCGAAGCAATTGTGAATGGGAGTTCACTCATGATTTGGCTCT